CAAAAAAATATTATTTTACTAACTTATTAATTTCTAAGTTAAATTGTGCTTTGTTGGTATAATGTCTGCTAGAATGTAAAAAAATGTTCAGTGTTAAATATTTTTAAATTGTTGTTTTGTAATTGATTTTTTCTTTGAAAAGCGAGACAAAACAGTAAAAAGCACATTTTGTCTATTTAATTTGTGCAATGGTGAAAAAAATTGGCAAAATACATGGGGGGAAAAAACCTAGAAAAACTGTGTTCGGTATTCGGCCTTCGGCCCAGTGTTTCATTTTGTTCGGTTTCGGCTTCGGCCAAGAATTTTCATTTCGGTGCATCCCTAATTGTCATATAGTATTTTTTTTGGCTTGTTATTGCTTGTTCTCTGTATGATTTGGCAATATTGTATGCAAAAAATCATGCCAATAAAGTACTTAAATTAAATTGAAGTTAATTAAAAATTTACTATTTTATCTAACATTTGTGTGTGATGTGTAGTTGTATGTTTATTAGAGTTCATGTTAGCTTAGCAACATGATCATACCGTCTTGAAAAATGTCTATTTTTAATATATTTATTTATTTGTTTATTATATTTTTTAATTCAATAGCAGCTTATTTTAATACAGTTTTTTTTTAACTGTTGTTTGTTATTATCATATCCCTGCTGAAAAAACAAGCATATGCTGGTTAGGTATGTTTAGAAGCATGGTAGCTGGGTTGAGCTTGTTTAAGTTGGTCCTTGGTTGGTCATGAGTGGGTTTAAGCTGGTCCTGAGCTGGTTATAAACTGGTTATAAATGGTCCTGAGCAGGAGCTAGTTGCTTAGGACCAGTCACCGCAATGCCAACGGGAGCTCCTGCACCAGTAGGTGAGCCGTTGTTAGTGATGAGAGTCTTTCTGTACTGAATCTCTCCTTTTAGCCTGAGAACCTGAAACAAATCAGATTGGGTTTGTCACAATAACAGTACCAGTGACATTTCTCAATTATTGTTACCAATTTAAATACCACTGCATAACTAACAACTTAAATATTTAAAATGTTAAAAAAAATGTTTAAACAAATTACATTTAAAAAATTTAAATTAAGTAAATATTTTCTCAGGTTGTTCAAATAATAAGTAAGTAATACAAAAACAGAGAACAAAGAAATGAATTACAAGCAGTACAACAAAGAAAAACAATACAAATGAAATTTGTAGCAGTATCAAGTATTCAAGTAAATATTCAATAATTGAAGCCAAATGCACAGGTCTAATATTTTGACATTGTATTTTTGTTTCGCCTGCTTACATTTACTCGAGACAAACTGACAGTTTACATTAATATGAGTACAACATTTTTGTATTTTTGTGTTGAAAATAGGGCTGTGCGATATGGACAAAAAAAACCTATCGCGATTTCTTTGATCAATTTTGC